GGATGAAAACGGTTAGTGGAAAAAACTTTTTAGGCTATAAGTTTATTAAAACTAGTGTGAAATTAGCTGGAGGAGCTCAGACTGGCTGGACAGCTCCTGCAGCATCATCACTCAGTCCATGGCGATGTTCTGACCTCCCTCCCATCCAGCTGGTCTCTACTGGTTCTGTGACTGTCGTCCTTCTCCCAGTATAACCCAGTAAGCTGGTGTTAAATTGAAAGCAAGGCTTGCTGCAGGTCAGGAACGAGCAATGCCTTCTCTGTGACGGCCATGTTGGCTCTGGGTAAAGTCACCATGGTGACGTCATAACAGAACAATTCACAAACAACCAGACACACACAGCTCTGCAGTCCGTATAGCAGTCAGACGGCGGCGGCGCTCTGATCGGCTGCTTCCCTCCTCCAGCAGCGCCGATCCTTCCATCAGTCTTGGCTGTGCAGCTCCTGCAACAGTGAGGTGATATCAGCCTGATATGCTCCAAACCTCAGGGGTCAGGAAGGTCAGAGGTATCCACGGTAACCTGCAATGGATACGTGGAGAGATGGTTAATGGGCCTTCAGAGTGAAGACGCTGCAGCAGAACTAGAGGAGACGCTCACCTTGATGAAGATGGTGTCGTCTTTGATGTAGCTGCCCGTCTCCAGGACGCTCTGAGCCACAAACAGAGGGCAGCCTGAGGCGATGTTCATCTCCGCTGTGGGACGCCTGAAGCTGCTGCTATGAGGATCAGGCTTGAAGGCATCACCCAGATGTTTCCTGGAAGGACCCTGGTCCATCAGCATCAGAGTGACCTGAGAGAGACACAGAAATCAGCAGGAGACCAGAACCACAGGCTGGGTTCTGGTTAGCAGTCTGCTGGAAAACATGTTCACTCATAAAGAAACTGGAGTCAGGGAAGGTCAGAGGTCAGAGAAGGTCAGGTTAGAGGAGGTCAGAGGTCAGGGAAGGTCAGAGGTCAGGGAAGGTCAGGTTAGAGAAGGTCAGAGGTCAGTGAAGGTCAGGTTAGAGGAGGTCAGAGGTCAGGGAAGGTCAGAGAAGTTCAGAGGTCAGGGAAGGTCAGGTTAGAGAAGGTCAGAGGTCAGAGAAGGTCAGGTTAGAGGAGGTCTAAGAGGTCAGGGAAGGTCAGAGAAGTTCAGAGGTCAGGGAAGGTCAGGTTAGAGAAGGTCAGAGGTCAGGGAAGGTCAGAGGTCAGACAAGGTCAGAGAAGGTCAGGTTAGAGAAGGTCAGAGGTCAGGGAAGGACAGAGGAGGTCAGGTTAGAGAAGGTCAGAGGTCAGGGAAGGTCAGAGAAGGTCAGGTTAGAGAAGGTCAGGGAAGGTCCGAGAAGTTCAGAGGTTAGAGAAGGTCAGAGGTCAGGGAAGGTCAGAGGTCAGGTTAGAGAAGGTCAGAGAAGGCCACAAAGGTTACTTCTATTTTATTTCCCTTTGTGATTAATAAAGTTTTTTAGAATTTAAATTCTTAGAGAATTTCCTGAACCAGCAGAAGCTGCCATCAGAGCTTCATAGAAGACAAACAACAGCGATGGAGACAGACGCTACCTTCTGTTTGAAGGGCCAGGGCAGCAGGGCGTCGTACTCGCCCTTCATCACCACAAAGAACAGCGACAGGTGCGTCCCCTTGCCCATGCCGTCTCCGTTCAGGTAAACCCGAGCGCACATCTTGTATCCAAAGTATCCGGTATAAAATGGCTGCGAGTAAAGAGACAGCGTCTTCCCCGCCACCGCTTCCTGTTTCCGCCTCTTGTAGTCCCGGATCTTCCATATTAGGGTTCCGTTGTAGCTGGCCGTCTCCAGTACCTGGAACCTCAAGTCCATGTCGGCCAGGCGGATTTCGTGGACGCTCAGCATGTCGTCATGGCGACTGAGCTGAGTTTCCAAAGATGCTGCAACCAGGAGAAATTCACGGTCAGATCAACGGGAGGAACACTTCCGTTGGTCATTGAACCCAGAACAGGAACTGACCCAGAGTGTGGCTTGACCCCGACCCGCTCCGCCCCCCCTGCTCCAAGGCGGTGAGCCTGGTCCGGACGTTCTCCACCGTTCCTCGTAGGGTCTCCACCTCTTCTCTCAGCACACGAAGTGAGCGCAGCTCCAGCTCCAACTCCAGCAGCTTCTCTGAGTGGGAGCTCATCAGTTTCTATGGAAACAGAGAACAGGACAGTCTGAGGCGTTCAGGTCCAAGTCAATGTTCAGGCACATCCATATGGGCCCTTCTGTCACACTGAACACTCCAAGCCATTTAGGACTGCAGCAATTAACCATCTAATCTGCAATCCAATGACTAGAACTATGTCTCCATTCATTCATCTACAGAAGCCTTTTGGACCAGGTTTGAACTTACAACTTCTGACAATTTGCTTAAAACATCTAATTATAAAATAAAATAATAATTTAAACACCTGACAGTTTCTTTGTAGAAATTACAGCTAATTCTTAATGCTATTTGACCCTTTTAATCCTGGTCTACCTTCCATCCTTTTGTTCTGCATTGAAAACAATTTAACCCTCTGGTTCTGGTTCTGGTTCTGGTTCCAGCTGTTTCATGATGCATTTCTACCGTAGGACTTTAGACCTTGGTGGGACCAATCCTGATGGACAGCTGTAGCTACCAGATCTGCTGGCGTCCTGCTTCCTGCCAGTGATGTTACGCTACATGATTGGCTGAACGTTGCCACATGATGATAAACATTGTGGTTGCCCAGACAACGATAATAACATAAAGCAGTGTCAGTGTGCCAAGTCGGGAGCATCTGTAGTGTTAGCGTGTCTAATGACAGATGAAGTTTTTACCTGATTGATAACAAAACTAAAAAATAAATCTGTTTCTGTTGAACAAAGTAACTGATAGACCATGATAGCAAATAAAGGTAATAATATGTTGAGACTCCAGAAGAGATTTGATCCTTAAGAAACGGGAGCAATACAGTTTGTTTGAGAAGAGTTGCCATATAATGATGTCATAAGAAGGGGCGGGGCCCCGAGCAGATCTGGTACCTATGCTGGACTCAGGCTGCTGGATAACAGTTTAAAGAACGTTCCTCTCTCAGGTTCCTTCTCTGCAGCCGTTGTTGAACTCATTATTTTAGATTTAATATTGAATACATGCAAGCATTCCTGTCACATCCTGCACCTCCATCACTGATATTAAAACATGTTTTATTGACCATCAGGCCTCATTAAGCGTCTGCTCCACACGCTAACTGAAAACAGGCTTCATAAACACATAAATACTTTTACATTTTACATTTCTAGGACTTCTTGGAACGTCTAGTCTTTAAAGGCATCTGATCTAACGCTACGTTCACACCTAAACCAGCAGAGGCAGCAAAAGCAACTAGTTTACATGTAAAGTCAATGGTTGACGACCATCAATGAGCAGCAAAAGGTCCTGCAGCGCGTTTAGAGCAGCAGGAGCATCGCCTCAGGAGCTTCTGAGCATCTGACACACTGCGAGAGCAGCAGCTGCTGGACGCACCACATCAACCAATGAGAGAAGCTGATCTGGGAGCTGACAGGGAGACAGACACAGCACTGCTGATGCAGAGCGCAATAATCACTCCTCTGAAACAGTTTATTAACACCTAAATTTACTTAAAATGTAGAAACCTGCCAGCAGAACAAGTTCGCTTTTATTATCCTGCTGCCTACAGTTTGTAGCACATACCTGGAAAAAAGCAAACATCTACTTCCAGCCACCACCAACAGTAGGGGAAAACCCCCAAGAGGCGAGCGGGCCTGAGGCAGCTGCAGAACTGGGTTCCTAGTAAGAACGCTCCGCTGGCAAATATAGCTGCCATTGTTCCAGGCGAAGAAAGGATAGGGTAGTTCCACCCAACGCGCATCAGACCCACATTTCCACCGCGCAGCTAGAGCAGCAAAGATGCTTCAGACGTGGGTCAGAACTAAACTGGTACAAGCATCAAAAATGAAACAGCATGCGCGTTTTAGCTGCTTCTGCTGGATGCAGTCTGAACGTAGCATAAGTTACTAGAATCTGTTCATTTGGTTTAAGATCAACAAACTCAAGCAATAATTTTCCTGTTTAAGGTTTTTATTTCTCTTCCTATTTTGTCTCACTTTTTTGTTAAAGAGCATCACAGAGGAGGGAAACCTGAGCAGGGTGCTGTGGTCCATGCTAAAACAGTCTGGAGACACCGTCTCCATGGTGATGCATGGCAGTGGCAGCATCATGTTACGGAGATGCTTTTCTTCAGATGTGTTGTGGTACCTGCATGTTGGCCAGCTTCTGCTCCGTCTGCCGGTTCTTCTCCCGTAGCTCTTCGTTCTGGTTCTCCAGCTCCGACAGTCGGCTGCTGAGCGCAGGAAGCACCTTACAGCGCTCCATCAGCTCCTCCTTCACGTTCTCCACCTGTCATCACAGACAGGCTTCGGTCTAACGCCGTTCAACCCAAACCTGCTGGGTGTGGTACGTATGGTCACTATGGTTACCTTGTTCTCTAATAAGCAGTTCCCTTTCACCATCATTCTCAGGTGCTCAGCTACGAAGGTGGAGTCGTGCTGCCTCATGTCTTGATTTAGGCCCTAAACCAGCAAACAGTCCATCAGCAGAGCAGAAGATGAGGCTGAAGAATTACAGACCAGAAAGAAAAGAGGAGGGGTTGGCAGTAGAGGGGGGGGTCACCTTGAATGTGCAGCCATAGCGGTGGAACAGGCAGCTGACCTGGGCTTTGGGACAGTCATGCTGGTGGCTTGTGAGCTGAAAGAAGACAAAGATTCAGAAGATCAGTTCAACTGAAGGTCAGGATGTCGGCGGTTGGGGGGGTGTGGGTGGGGGGGGGTCAGTACCTCACTTCGGGGCAGGGAAGAGAAGGAGCAGTGGTTGGGACAAGACACAGGAAACGAGGGACACACCGTCTCTTTGTGTTTCTGAAAACAATTTCACAAAATGTTTAATCCAGGACATTTAATCCAGCACAGTTAAACCCAGGACAGTTTAATTCAGGATGGTTTAATCCAGGACGGTTTAACCCTGGATGGTTTAACCCAGGACAGTTTAACCCAGGACAGTTTAATCCAGGAGAGTTTAACCCAGGAGGGTTTAATCCAGGAGAGTTTAATCCAGGAGAGTTTAACCCAGGACAGTTTAAACCAGGACGGTTTAAACCAGGACGGTTTAATCCAGGAGGGTTTAATCCAGGAGAATTTAACCCAGGACAGTTTAACCCAGGACAGTTTAACCCGTGACAGTTTAACCCAGGACAGTTTAACCCAGGACAGTTTAACCCAGGACAGTTTAACCCAGGACAGTTTAATCCAGGACAGTTTAATCCAGGAGAGTTTATTTCAGGAGAGTTTACCCAGGACAGTTTAACCAAGGACAGTTTAACCCAGGACAGTTTAAACCAGGACGGTTTAAACCAGGACAGTTTAATCCAGGACGGTTTAAACCAGGAGAGTTTAACCCAGGACAGTTTAATCCAGGACAGTTTAACCCAGGAGAGTTTAACCCAGGAGAGTTTAATCCAGGACAGTTTAAACCAGGACAGTTTAAACCAGGACAGTTTAAACCAGGACAGTTTAACCCAGGACAGTTTAACCCAGGACAGTTTAACCCAGGAGAGTTTAACCCAGGAGAGTTTAACCCAGGAGAGTTTAACCCAGGAGGGTTTAACCCAGGAGGGTTTAATCCAGGA